GAAGCTTCACGAGACTTTGCTGATGGTCTTTTTATTCGTCCTTGTGCTGCGTTTGAACCTCACCCTGGCCGTAAAATAGGTGGAGATACTCGTCTTCGCTCCTTTTACTCTTCCTTCTCCGCCCCGAAAAGAGGCCGAGAAGTATATACTTTTTCCGTGAAGATAAATCCGTCTGCCGCCGCGTGCCATATGTCGAGGATCTCGGAAAGTGTTTTCCGATTTCTCGCACGTGCAACAGATGGCCGGGCTGCCTTTCTCCCCGAAGGAAGTGCTCGAAAATTGTACGACGCCGAAACTCGTTTTTGCCTTCCCTACGTAGGCATTGAATTTTTCCCGAATCGTCTCGAGAAAAGTCGCGCGGACAACTGTCCTGGACTCGGCGAAAACTCAGATAGGACGCGACGCGACGACGCGTCACCGAGGAGAACGCACGCGGCTCGCGAAGGAACGGTCTCCCACTATAAATCATAAGGATGATTATGTTAAAATCCGCCGGCTCATTAGTTCGCGAAATATCGCCCGGCTCTTCTCTCTTTTTCCCTGCCCTCTTGCCACCCCATCTAACTCGTCCTCACGAACGATCCCCAAGGCTATCTAGTCGACACCGTGGCGACCGACGCGGCGTAGAAAAACAATTTGGCCGCCCCATTTCGGTGGGACGCGCGCGAGCGGGTGCCTTAATTAGTCCCACCGTAGCAGATTACCAATCAACGATTCGGGAATTACGACGCGGTTATTCTCGGGGCTAGCTGACCGCAACATCCGTCGAGTCTCTTTCTCTCTCTCTCTCTTTGCTTTTCTTTTTCTCTCCCTCTTTCACTTCTTTCAGTAGAAGATAGCTGCGCACTACCTCGGTCTGTTAATTCACTGAAATTAAAAATACCTCTCCCTCCACTACGTTTATCTTTCTGGAATGAGAATAAATGCTCGCGGCACGGGACTCTCTTCTCTCTCTCTCTCTCTCTCTCTCTCTCTCTCTCTCTCTCTCTCTCTCTCTTCTTCTTTTTCTTTGGAGAAAGATTGTCTCTAATCTTTAAGATTGTCGCACCTGCGTGTTGCACGGAAATTTATAAAGATCTTTTATAGTCGCCGTGCATCCTATCTCTGGAATTTTTTGTTCGTTGTAAATTAGTCGTTGTTATCGGTAATGATGGTATTATTAGCATTATCTGAAAGTCTTAATTAGCCGAAATTGAGTCGTTATTTCGGTTAGGGGAATTTACTTTAACAATAATACAGATTCTAATTTTCCAATAAAAATTATAATTTTAAGAAATTACAATTACAATTTTAGAAATTGTAATAGAAATCAATACTATTTATGTTATAATACTGATATAATATTTATGTTATAATACTATTTATGAAATTACTATGTTGATTATATTTTTTCTTGATTGTAATTATATACTTTCTAATTAATTTTAACTTTTCAAATATTGTATTAATATTATTTGGGAAATTATATAATTTTAGAACATTATAATTTAGAAATTGCAACTAATATCTTTTGGAAAATTAATCTTAAATTGTAATTTTTGAATTTAAATAATTTAGAAATTATAATTTTTTAAAGAGAAGTTGTTCTCCAATGGAATACCCAATAGAGTTGTTACCCAATAGAGTAAATATTACTAATGGCATCATTATCGTCGTGATAATTAACGTGAGAAATTATCATTTATTTTATAAAATTGCGTTTCTTCGTGCCAGCGATGGGAACGAGAGAGCATTATCTCGTTAGACACGGGTCCGATTTCGATTTCGATCCGGATTCCGACCTCGGCGAATTAACGAACGCGCTGGGCGAATTCTCGTGCGACGAACTCCCCGATACGGTGAACTCACACGCAAGTCACGGAAATAGCGAAATCGCCCAGGGGGACGAGAGATTCGGTTGCTTTTCAATCAAATGACGAGACCGCGAGCGTAGACAAGTTCCAGAAGAAGTTACTCGGCAGAAATGTGAGAGGGGCAAAGAAACTCATTCAATTTCGGCAAAGCTCCTCTTCCCCGTGTCTTGTCCCCACTGGCGACCTTAAACCGATCCCCCGGAGGAAACTGTTAAATCTATTACGGCTCTAAAGCCCGATCATGATCACGTCCCGTGAAGAGGGTCGAGAGGATCCCAGCCGAGGTGAGTTGCATCGCCTGGATGATCGTAGCAAGAAGAAGAAGAGAAGAAACGGTGCGGTGGGTCGGGAGGGGGACAGGATCGAGGGCGGGGGAAGAAGTGTGTTTTGTAGTTTCGGTCGACCCAGGCAGCAGACAGCAGGTAGATAGGCAGGCAACGGTCCCCTCAAATCGCTCGAAAAATGAGGGGGCACGTCGGGAGGACCTTCTAACATTTTTCTCTCTTTCTTTTTCTTCTCCCTCTCTATTAGCTCTGTATCTGACTGCCTCTCTTTCTCCTTCCTCCCCTCTCTCTCTCTCTCTCTCTCTCTCTCTCTCTCTCTCTCTCTCTCTGTGTCTTGCTTGCTTGAACTCGACGTAATCGCGCAACGCGTCCTGGAGGACAACGTGAAAGAATGAAGGGGGTGAAAACCGCGAGCACCTCTCCGTTCTCGTCCTCCTGTCGTCGCCGACGTCCTGTGGTCAACTCTTCGTGATTTGACGTGATGATTTCCGAATAGATGAACGTTGATTCTCAAACGCGAATGCGGGACGAGTTATAAACATAAGTTTGTATTTGTACAGCTATATATACATGTTCGTTGAACACACACCAATCAAGTATGAAATATTCTCTTAAAGGCTAAATTAACTGTAGATAAAAACTATAAAACATTTCTCAATTGCCGCTAGATATCGCAAATTTGTCATCAAAAGCACCTTAACCCTCGGAATGTTGAAAGAATAAACTCAAGAGAGAGAAAAAATAAACTTAATTTTGTTTCGAAATTCTGTCTTAGATTCTAATTATTTGTAAGATATTTATCTAAGAGATAATTTTTAATTTATAAAACTCACAAGAGACAATAATAAAGATAATTATTTGCGAGATGTCTCATGGCTCTTATTTCTCAAAAGTGCTCTGTAAAAAATGACAGTTTATTTATATATATATATTTTTTTTTTTTTTTTTTTATGGAATAAATCAATCTTTTGATTTATTTAATTAATACTACGGTGACATACCGAGGGTTAATTTAATTCGTCATTGTGCCAAAATTTTGAATAAGATTCTTACAATCACATTCTCATTTTTTTTTACGCGCATTCATTTCTTGCATACACGTGAAGTTCACCGCTGAAGCATGAGCTAATACTAACATTTACATTTCCTTGTTTTGTGTGGAACACACGTAGGTTTCAGTCGAGTTTCGTTCGTCGTCTCTCATGCCGAAGAGAGCCGTTTCCGCAGTTATTCTTGTCTCCTCTGTGCCTGCTCTTCCACGCAGAGCGTATATTTGTTTTACCTTATTTTGATTTTATTTCTTTGTATTTGTATAAACATTTTCAACTAAAAATAATATTAGTTCAGCTAACGACATACTTTCGCGCGATAATACATACTAAAAAATTACTAAAACAATCGTCTCATGGCATTCGCTAAAACTGAATCATTAACAAATCACAAGTGAATCACTAGTCGTAGAAGTTAACTTTGGAGGAACTGATCATGTGTCTCACTTCAGCAATGAAGTCCTCGTACAAGAGCGCAACGAATTATTAATACTAATTGTGCAAACACTTGGTCGACGTCATCATTCTCCTTAATGTCCTTAGAAGACAGAATCTGGTCATTTGCCCCTCAAAATGATGGAGTGACTCGTGGAGTATGTTGCGAGTATCAAGTATTCCAAATTACTTTTTCCCATTATTTTCTATCATGATTATAATAAACTTTGGTGTTTGAAGTTCTTATTATCACAAATGCTATAAAGAAGATTAGTTTACAATCAATATTATTAAACTAAAAGTAAAATAAAAGTGTTCAGAATTCTTTTTTTAAAATAAAACGTGAGTTGCTTTATAACTTTACAATATAATGAACCAATGAAAAAAGATTCGAGGAATGACCAGACTCCACACTGAGGAAAAATACTTGAAAATTTATTTGTGAGATATAAAGTCTTATTTCTATGAAATAAACTTATCTCACAGATGAATCTTCAAGTATTTCTTTTTCTCAGCGTATCTCCTAGGAACTCTAATTATCTTTTCTTACCTCGGCGCGCGAGCTACAAGCAGATTACCACCAACGTAACGTCCGCAAAGTCACGCGAGATGGAAAACGAGCTTTAGCTCCGAGGACACGCCGGAAACGCGTTGTGAATCCAACGTCCACGCGAGGGAGCCGTGAAACGTTTCACGCGGCAAAGGGTGGCGCGCGTGCGGAGCGGGGTGAAGCGAAGGGTCCACGGGCAAGAATAATAAGCCGCAGGGACGAATCTCGTGTAAGCCGTTATCTCTGACGCGTTCATCTCTCCCTCGTCGAGAGCGGGGACATCCGGATATATGGTGTATACGCCGCGCGTTATCGGAATATTAACGTTCCTCCTCGCGACGCGGAGGACGCGATGACATGGCGGATAAAGCGTGTAAACGGCCACGGGATTCGTCCTCGTCGTAGTCGCAGTTCGTGCCTCGTTAATCTCGCGCGAGCGCGATCGAATATCAGCCCTTGAGAACTAGGATGCGTCGATCTTTTCTATGACCTCTGTAACTTGGTTTCCGCACCCTTCGTTCGGCAACCTAGTCGTTGTCGTTCTTTGGAATTTATTTCCCAAGATCAGAAGATGCGTCCCGCATTTTTGATCGATTGTGGAGAGCTCACTAATTTTACTTTCACCCCCTCTCCCCCCCCCCCTT